TTTACTTGCAATTATTTCTGAAGAGTAATTTAAAAATACTACTTCTGTTTTTTTTTTTTTTTGGTACCAAGGATCAAACTCGGGACCTTGCGCTTGCAATGCAGGCGGCAGGACCACTGAGCTATAAATCCCCAGCCCAAAAATATTACTCCTTAAGGTTGGAGATGTAGCTCAGTGCAAAGGTCTTGCGTTCAATCCCCAGTACCAAAAAATCACACACACAACAAATGAACAAAAAACAAAACAAAACAAAAAAACCTAAAACCTACCCTTTTTTGGTGCTGCATTAAGTTGAATTGCTTCTATTTATAAAAATTACTGAAGCACATGAATCAAAATGTTTTACCAAGTGACCTAATAGAAATTCTGCACTAAGGTGTATGATGAAAACTTCATTTTGGGGCCGGGGATTTAGCTCAGTGGTTTCGCTGCCTGCTACACAAGCGCAAGGACCCGAGTTCGATCCCCGGTACCAAAAAAAAACAAAAAACAAAAAAACCCAAAAAAACTTCATTTCATTCTAAAAGTCTGCAAATCCCATTTATAATACTGTATTTACCATCAAAGCAAAATCATCCATGAGGTTATAAGCATGGAAGGTTTCCCTACGAAACTAAAGTCAATGCCTTTTATTCATTTTAATATATATATAAAATATATATATTTTATATATATATAAATACTATTGCATTTGATTTTACTTTCAAGCTTAATTTAGGCCCCTTTTATTAAAAATAGATGAAATATATGTAAGTATAAAATTAAATATAATGCTTTATTCTCAGAGGTTACAATTTCCTGAAATGTTTCTTTATAATATTAAAAATTATCAGATTTCAGCCCTAAAAGTAAGCATTGAATCTGGTAGATAAATTTAGATCCTGTTGTCCACTGATATTTTCAAGACTCACTTCAAACTGGATGCTTTCTGTTTAAAAAAAAAAAATGTCAAGTATTAGTTGGTCCATTTATTTTATGAAAGGCCAGGACCACTTTGTAACCAATAAAAATAACAAGCACTGCTGTACCTCTTATTACACTCACTTATGTGCATCAGTACAAAAAAACTAGACTGGTGAGGGAGTTAGAGGGAAGACCCATGCAGCCATCCACAGACAGGAATTGACCAACTTGAAAGTTTAGAAATTCAGGGCTGGGGATTTAGCTCAGTGATTCCACCGCCTGCCTCGCAAGAGGAATATCCAGAGTTCCATCCCCAGTACCAAAAAAAAAAAAAAAAGAAAGAAAGTTTAGAAATTCAAACATTGAGCCAGAGTGCTTGCTTTGGCAGCACATATACCAACATTGAGCCAGAGGTAGTAGCACAGGCCTGTAATTTTAGCACTCTGGGAGGCTGAGGCAGAAGGATCACACTTCAACATAGTCTGGGCAACTTAAGTGACTTAGAAAGACCCTGTGGGAAGGGGGGTGGGGCTGGGGATGTAGCTCAGCAGGAAGGCCCTGGGTTCAAACCCCCAGCACTACACACACATACACAAAAAACAAATACTGTACTAAAATACTTCATTACTGAGTTTTTAGCACCCTCTTAATTTTCCACCCATGCAAGTGCCTTAGCTGCCTTAGCATAAGCCCTGCACTATACTGAAAACTGCCATTCACCATGCATCCATGCCCACAGTTTTACGGATAGCTTAGCAACACGGGAAGGCTAAGCAGGTCAGTCACCAGGGCACCACTCCCACTCACCTGGGATCACAATCAATAAGGGCCCAGCCCCCATGGAACTTTTCATCATCAGGCAGCAGTAATTTCATGTAGCTTTGTAAAAGCTGACTAATCAGTTCTTGGTGGCTTCTCTGGCTTTCCTTATGCAAAGCTTCATGCTCTTTCTCCTTGGTAAATATGGAATAAAGATCTTCTGTCACTGGAATGCCTTGCATCAAATCTAGGACAGAAATATTCATATCTATCATCATCTGAGTTTACTAACATATTTTTTAAAAACTAAGAGAATGTAAGACCTAAAGCTAAAAACTCTTAGAAGAAACTTAAGCACAAATCTTTATGATTCTGGATTGGTCATTTTGTTTTTTGAGACAATGTCTCTGTAGTTCAGACTCAAACTTGGAATGATCCTCTTGCCTCAGCCTCCCTCAGCCTCCCAAGTGCTGCAATTACAATTTTTTTTTCAAACTGGAGATTGATCCCAGGACCCTGCAAGGCTGGGCAAACACACCACTCCTGGGCAACATCCACAACCCTGGGAATAGTTTCTAGATATGATTCCAAAAGGGTAACCAACAAGAGTGAAACAGAAAACTGAACATCAAAAAAACTAAAAACTGGCCAGGGATTTAGCTCAGTGGTTCTGCCGCCTGCCTTGCAAGCGCAAGGTCCCAAGTTCGATCCCCGGTACCAAAAAAAGAAACCAAAAAAAACTAAAAAACTTCTATGATACAAAGGACATCATCATGACAGTGAAAGATAAACCACAAAACTATGAAACTATTTACAACTCATTTATTTGGCAAGGGACTTTTATACCCAATATGTAAAGACCTACCACAACTCAAAAATAAAAAGACACACCAATTTTAAAATGGGCAAAAGATTTGAGGCAGGTGCAGCACCACTGAGCTAAATCCCTGACCCTATGGGCAAAAGATCTGAATAAACAAGCTAACTTCCTCTTAATGGGGCATATAGCTACAGCTTTAATAAACATTAAAATCCAGCAATGAGACCACAGGCAGCTTCTAGGAAAGACAATCCCTCAAACACTGGTCATACAAAGGAAAGCAATAAGCCCAGACTGCTGTTGGCCTCTCTCTCTCTCTCCACCTGGAAGACAGCCAGCTTCAGGATCAGGATGAAGCTAATGGGATGGACAGCTGACCTAATGGGATAGAACCTGGGTCTTGAATGAAACAACTGAGTTGCTAGACCAACCAATGGAGGCTGAGGTAGGCTGAGGTAGGAGGATCACAAGTTCGAGACCAGCCTAGGTACCTCAGAGAATCAGTAAGACCCTGTCCCAATATAAAAAATAAAAGGGTGGGGAATGTAGCTCAGTGCAAAGGGCTCAATCCTCAGTACCATAACCATACATGTAAGTGGCACCCTACAAAAAACACAGAGAAAATCATATGAAGTCTTTAGTCATTGAGGTTTTAGGGCACCTTATTCCACACTCCAGAAGTTTCAACTCAGCCGTTCTGTAAGTCGCAAACTAATAATAGATACTTCCATATCTATTTGGTTGTGCTAATCAAAAATATTATTCAAATTCTAAATTTTTTGTTGTTTGTTTTTTTGAGATTTTTTTTGAGGTCTTGCTATGTATTTCAGGCTGACCTCAAACTTGTGACAATCCGCCTCTCTCAGCCTCTCAAGTGCTGAGATTATAGGTATGCACCACCACATCTGGATACATCAGATCCTAATTCTTTAAAAATTTGAATTTGACTGGGTAAGATGTACAATATAGAAACACAAATATAGGGCTGAGGATTTAGCTCAGTGGTTCCACTGCCTGCCCCACAAGTGCAAGGTCCCAATTTCAATCCCCAGTACCAAAAGAAA